GCTCAGGCAGACAGGTTGTGAACCTGAAATATCACTTTAAGTCCGGTAACGTTTCAAACGTTGAGATTAACTACACAAATACACTGAATTTGAGTATTTTGCTGATTGTGTTCTTGTTTTGTTACAGAGAGCAGGAGCTGAGGGGAGAGCGATGGACAAACATTCAGCAGCCGTAGCTTTGAATTAAGACATTAGTCCATTTGTAATATCTCCATGTGACCATCCTGTACTGAAGGTTACAGTTACATGAGCTCTCATCCTGTACAAAGCCTTCACTAACAACACAACTAGTAGATCCTTCTCATGTGTTCATGTTGCTGTCAGAGAGAGGACAGTTGTGATGTCACCTTTTTATTTTATTTATTTAAATTGACATAAGACGTCCATGTAAATGATTTCTATGTGAATATGTATATATTCTGCTGTGTAAAATGTGTCATTCTTCTAAGTTTGCATCCCTGTGTGAACATTATTGATAAATGTTTCTCTGTTCATCAACTTATTTAAAAAATATAAAGTATATGCACATGTTACTGAGAGTTAATAAACACGTTTGCTGACATTTGTTTTGCTGCTGTTAATGTTAACTGTCTTGATTGATTTCCTCTGCCTTAGGATTGCTATATATATACAGCATATGTACATGTAAATATATATATATATATATATATATATATATATATATATATATATATATATAATCCTGTTGAGCAGGGATTTTAGGGATGGGAGCAGCAAGAGGGGGGCGGGGCGGGAACAGCTGTTGACGCAAAAAGGAAGTCCTCTGTGGCTTAGGCCGTCTCATTTCGGAGACCACATGGTCTAGCCTTTGCGGTCCTCAAAGGACGCGGCCCACGTAGACCGCGAAGGCTGGGTCCTCCAAGGATGCAGCTCCTGAATTGAGACACAGCTACAGACACACGCGAGAGCTCCGCCTCCACACAGACACACCCGAGAGCTCCGCCTCCTCGCACACACACCTGAGAGCTCCTTCTCCACACACACACACACCTGAGAGCTCCTTCTCCACACACACACACACCTGAGAGCTCCGCCAAACACCCACACACACACCTGAGAGCTCCTTCTCCACACACACACACACCTGAGAGCTCCTTCTCCACACACACACACACCTGAGAGCTCCGCCAAACACCCACACACACACCTGATGGCTCCGCCAAACACCCACACACACCTGAGAGCTCCGCCTCCACCCACACACACCTGAGAGCTCCTCCACACACACACACACCTGAGAGCTCCTCCACACACACACACACACCTGAGAGCTCCTCCACACACACACACACCTGAGAGCTCCTTCTCCACACAGACACACCCGAGAGCTACGCCTCCATAAACAGACACACCTGAGAGTACCATGAGGCAGTATTTGTACCTTTGATGTAGACATTGAGCATGGCGGGCGCGGCGCCCTCCCGTCCTCCCGCCTGGTAGAACAGGAAGCTGACGCAGTGCGTGTCGTTCTCTTTGAGCGGTGGCAGCAGCATCTGAGCGCGCTGACCTCCGTACCGACCCGACGTGTTCACGAACAAGAAGGAGGAGCCTGCACACAGGAAGTGACACTGCATCAATAAAGGTATTTTTAAGTAGTACACAATGACAAAAAAGCATGTGGGCATTGTGTACACAAAATTAGCCTCTCCCTGTGTGTCAAAATAAAAGCACAGGTCAAAGATAAAAAGGACCAAACAGGAAATCCAGAGCAGAAGAAAATAAGAAAATAAAAGACTCATTGATATATTAGAGCAGCTAATCCATAATTCATCAACAAAGATGGAAAATAAACTCTGTGTGTGAACATATTGCTCATTTTGTCGTCAGTGAAATTCTATAATTGGAAATCTTCAGAATAAAAGCATTCACTTTAAAGCTTTGAATCTCAAAACCCAGCCTCTGTGTGTGTGTGTGTGTGTGTGTGTGTGGTCCCTCATTAGTGTGTGTTGGTGTCATGACTACAGCTGTCAATCAAGCAAGCTCTGGGTTCACTTTTCTCTAAAGTTTCTATGAAATTCAAATCAATACTGCGAGAGAAGTCTGACACACACACACACACACACACACACACACACACACACACACACACACACACACACACACACACAGTGTCGGTGGGTTGAAAGGCATCTCCATGGTAACAGTGAAGTACTGGCTGTCAGTCACACAGACGGTTAAAAGCTTCTCTCTGACATTTCAATGATTTTTGTGAGACTTTATTTTGAAATTCAAGTTCTTCTTCGTCTGTGACTTCAGTTGTATTTGTGTAACGTTGCTCTATAAGACAGTGAGAGACACGATATGATTCAACAGACACAATCAGTTACACGTGAGTTATTATTTCTTTAACATTACACACAACAGACCATAATATCTCGTCACCGGGTTACGATGAGTTATTATTTATTTCACTGTTGATTATTTTACTAAACATGAAGAAATTATTCTGAAACCGTTTGAACAGCGTCCTGCTTTATTTACAAGTGTGTGTGTGTGTGTGTGTGTGTTAGCGAATCAATGGTCCTTGAGGAGAATCGATTAGAAAAACAAGAGTTTTAATCATCGCAGAGAGGAGGAGCAAGAGGAAGAGGAGGAGGAAGAAGAATAGGAAGAGCAGGAGGAGGAAGAGGAAGAGGAGATAAATGAGGAGAACGAAACAGCCTGATGAGGAGATGAAAACATGAATTCATGTGTAGTTTCACTTTGATAAATGTTCTACTACTTTACTTCTTCTTCTATGAAGATAACCTGAGTATCAACATGTTTTACTTATTCTTCTCTGTCCCCATGTGTGGTCCTGACTGGTTTGGTCATGTCTCAGTGTGTATGTGTGAAAACATGTGTGTATGTGTGTGTGTGTGTACCAGCTGTTTCCGTAGCAACAGAGGAATGTTGAAAATGTGTGTGTGTGTGACGTGGAATCAGAGACGTGACATGAGGTCATTCAACGAAGAAGAGAATCAAAGAGGAGACTGTCTAAGAGAACCTCATCTGTGAAATCTGTACATATTCATATTAAATCAAGATATATATATATATTAGTTTGATCTGCTGTTGGCGACATATTAGATTATTAGTAGATAACCAATGAGAGCAGAGTCTGTTTCTTCCTCAAACATCTCAAACTGACAAGAAACAGAAAAACATCTCCACCGTGTTCTGGCGTTTCTCTGTCTCGTTAACCTCCCGCCCCCTCTCACCTGTCGGCCAATCACAGATGACCCCTGCCTTCTCTAAACCAATCCCATCAGACCCAGCACACACACACACACAGATGGTGGGGGGTAATTCTATTACCAGAGTTATATTGAAACGTGAGGAGAGGCAGCTGCAGCGCATTGAGAAGATTTACACAAATAACACACACACTTCCTGCTGCTGTGTGTGTGTGTTTCCTGCAGCGATTTCAGGATCTGAATGGAAAATCAAATGTCTGAAAACAACCTTCAAACAGGTGTAAAGGCTCAGGTGTAAACTGATATAACAAATAACAGATTAACGGTCTAACAATCATTATGAATGTAGGTTAACAGTCTAATAATCATTATGAATGTAGATTAACGGTCTAACAATCATGAATGTAGATTAACGGTCTAACAATCATTATGAATGTAGATTAACGCTCTAACAATCATCATGAATGTAGATTAACGTTCTAATAATCATCATGAATGTAGACTAACGGTCTAACAATCATTATGAATGTAGATTAACGGTCTAATAATCATCATGAATGTAGATTAACGGTCTAATAATCATTATGAATGTAGATTAACAGTCTAACAATCATCATGAATGTAGATTAACAGTCTAACAATCATGAATGTAGATTAACGTTCTAACAATCATGAATGTAGATTAACGGTCTAACAATCATGAATGTAGATTAACGGTCTAACAATCATCATGAATGTAGATTAACGGTCTAACAATCATTATGAATGTAGATTAACAGTCTAACAATCATTATGAATGTAGATTAACGGTCTAACAATCATCATGAATGTAGATTAACGGTCTAATAATCATCATGAATGTA